ATTCTTTTTAGCAGGTCTCATTTTGAGATTACAACTAGGAGATATCGATTTATTTCCTCTTTAAACGGTTGAAAGTAACGTGGAAAACATGCTTTGATAATTCCGAAAAAACGAAAGGTAAAGAAGTAAAAAACAAAATTTAATGATGCAAAAAGTGGTTACCGGGGTGAGTGAAATGAGTGCTGCGATTAACGATGTGTGTAAAGTGTGCTGGAGCGTAAAAAGATAATCATGCGTGAACGGGTCCTTCAGCGCTACAAATTGAAATTATTTATCCGTGTTTTTATTTTTTTTTCTTTTAAATATAGCCAGTAGAGGGCTCAAAGGAAGTCTCTAATTTTCTAGAAAGCTCTAATCGAAGCGTTAATAATGGGCTACTTACTTGAAAAATTCATTGATAAGATCCAGGCTCGGACTGATCTCAGCGTAGGCTTGTGCCATAGTGCGATAAATCAAAAGAGCATTAATCTGATACGGAGATCGTCAGTTATTAAGAGTGGAGATCGGAGCATTTAGCTACATCGTATCTTAGAGCGATAAATAGCATGCAATTAATTCATCGAAAATGCACATACAGGCTCCTTCGTCCTCCGTCTCGGCTTCCTTTAGTTTTTTCCCTTTTCTTGCCACCTTCTTACTATCACTAAATTGAAAATTTCTGAATTTTTCTCCTCTTTCTCTTCCTCAAATGTAATATATATTTGTTTTTATGTACTTATCATTTTTTATTTTGTACATAATGTCATTATTTAATATATATTTATAAGCATTTTTCCTTCGTCAAAATTTCTCAGGACACGAACAGGATTAACTTTCTCAGGATTTTCTTTGGTTTTAAACGAAGTGCGTTTAAAAGCAGTCATCTCTCATTTCATGCTTGAACATTCGAGCATTCAAAAATAAATTACTGTGTATACTGATTAAAGTATAAGTTAGAGATCATCCGGTGTGGGGAGGAAAATCGAAAACCTTAAAATATAAAGTATCTGCCACTGCCTAAGCGGAAAAATGTTGACACCAAGTGGTGATTAAAATTGCACTGGACATCTTACATGACGGAGAAACACAAATGATGTCTTGAATTTTCACATAAAAATTTCCATAAAAAGAGAGATACTCATGGAAGAACCAATAAAATTAAACCATGGGTAACAGTGATAATATAGTATGAAAATATTTAAACATTTTCGTTGTAAAAAAACGGTGGAGATAAAAATTTATATTAATAATACAGATTTCCCATCTCTCTCAGCTTTTTACAATAATCTTCCTTAACAGTAATAAATTTAAAAAATTTGGAAGTCTTATTATTCCAGCAAGAAAATTCGGAATTTTGAAGCAAAGTAGGACACGAATTGTGTACATTAAAAACCAGAGAAAAAAAGGGGAGGATTCCGATCTGTGGCTGAAAGTTATTCTCTCTTCTGCATGAAATTAAGTCTGTCGTCATTGAATGGAATAGCACACACAGAAAAACTATATGGGATAGTGAGTTTACTTAGCAGAACCAGTTTTGGAAACATTGCGCTTCTGATAAAAATTGTAGGACATGTATTGTCACACGAGTGAATAGACATTTTTTCTTAAAATTGCTATTCTAGAAGAACGCATTAAATGAACTTTGCGTATTACTATTAATAAATCTGACTGAAGTATAGCTTCAGATTTTATACAAGAAGTTTTATCAGGTTATAACAGGGATAAATTCTTCTGTAATCAAACTCTCCACTGTAATATCAGGCGTAACTTTTCCTGTTCTGGAAAATTGAGTGAGTTCTACTTGATAAGGATTCAATCAACCAGCCCGAACCCGGTAAATTTTTATGAGAAAATCGGTAATGTGATGGATACAGAAATAAAATTTCATTAAAAAAACAAAAGATGTAACCTCAGAAAGTCTGGAATAAGTTGTGTAAGTTATCGAAAAACGATATAAACAGCGAGATAACCATTTGAATTGAAAAATTCCGATAGAGCTTTCTTGAAAAATTAGGACTTGATACTAAATTCATGCGTCTGTGTGGTTAGTTTGATTTGCACAGACGAAAACATGGTATCGTGTCTCAGCTTTGGATTAAAAAAAAAATAAACCAACAATTCGTGTTAAACTCTTCATATACGCGTGTAAAAAATATAATTCGCAGGAGTTCAGGATTGGGGCATTGAAAAAAAATGAATCAAAAGAAACAAAATTAACTGAATTAGTGTAAGTTTTTATTTTTAAACACAGTCAACAAATGATAAAAGTATTTATCTTTCTAAAATTATTGAAGGTTCACTTTAGTTTAGGCAAGTACAATCAGGTAAATTGGTACTTAAAGGAGCTTTTCGACGATAAAATGCAATGATTACAAAATGCTAGTAACGTTTTGCTTAAAAAGTACCCTGAAAGTTCACATAAAAATTACGGATAGCATGGCTAACACCTTAAATCATGAAAAAAGAAACAAAAGATTGTCATGAATATGATCAAAGCCATCTTTGTAAGTTCGAAGTCTTTAGGTGGTTGATTGGTATGTGGCTGTGGATTAGAGGTCGTTAGTTTCGTATGTTGATGTCTGCGTTACGAAACTTAATGTGACTGTCAGCTTAGTAAAAAGCACGCGAAAAAATATAAAATCACATTTTCTCATAAAATCAGCCGCTTTAATGAAATGTTATTTGTCTTTCGGAAGGAAAAGTTAAAAAGTGTACCTAACGGTTTTAAGTCAACCAATAAAGAGTGATGGAAAAATGAAAGTATTTGATAGAAAAAATAAGGTACAAAAAATAGAAATTGAAAAAACTCAAAGAAACTTAAAGCTAGTAAAAAGTCGGTAGATGGCTCTACTTCCCTGCAAATTCTAGAATATTCCAACAATTACAAAACACTGATTCAAACGAAGCAGGCGATTAACTTCAAGCAGCTTAAAAGAATAAAATTCGAATTGCAATGAAATAAACAAAAAAAGAACTACTGAAAATTGGATATGTCAGTATGAAAGGAGACTAAAAGCTGATCCATATGCTTTCATTCAACAGTTTCTTGAAAGTGAGAATAAGTAAAGTGAGATTTGCACCCACCATGATCTCAATTTCATTAAATAGGATAAATTCATTTGTTCTAAATGCAGCCTGGTCTTTTATGAATTTCCGATTTCGAAATTCTACTTCAACTGAAGTAACGGACCTAGAGAATTTCGTGCAGTTGTTACTACAAAACTTAAGGGGAGATTCTGCACAGCAAAAAATTTATAAATATCCTCAAGAGCCTATTCTGCCGTACGAATGAAGAACACCGTACACAAATTTGAATATTGTCAAATTTCTGAAAGAACAATTTTTTTTTTTTTGGACAATTGAGAATATTGTTTCTTAAAACTTCAATAATGTGTCTACTTTCTGGTATACGTATTTGAAGAGTAAATGGCAAAATATAATTTCAACATTGGACGTTTTATACGGGTAACATTTACGTCAACCATATTGAGCAGTCATATGACATTCTTCCTTAGCAAGGTCAAATTCGCCATACTTTTTATTCACGATAAAAAAAATTCACTCCAACCGATTTAATTACGTCAACATGATTTCTCCCAGTATCCAGTGCTCGCTCAGCCGCTCTTTCCTCTGTTACAATATTTTTCATGATTTGTACTTTGAGTTGTAATTTTGACTGCTTGTTGCTGAAGCAAGCCACGCAATGTGCAGTTTCTGAAGCCGGGCGCAGTGCATCAAAATTCAAACTTGAAAATAAAAAATTGAGTGCTGGGAACCACCATTTTTTTCAACCCACTTTGAAGAGAGGAGAAAGGTAGACTTGCATTTAATGATTTGTCTTTGTAAAAACATTGCGACGCCTCGCTTGAATCCTCTTTCTTTCCTACAGAGGAGGCATAGTATAATTTTCATGACACAAAAACTGCGGCTGTTCTCAAAAGAGGGTTGGTGGTTTGAGTACTGGTGAGGTAAAGATAATTGGTTCTTCCGTTTAATTGCTTTGAGTTACGCAATATTTGTCTTTTAAATTCTGATTCCTCTAGTTTCAAATTAATTATAGGTAGGGCTATTTCTCACGAAAAATAGCAAGCTGCAAAGCTAATAGATTAAACATATTAGTCAAGAGAAGAAAGGACCATGAGCAACTAAAATGAATCCTTGAGCCACGCTCCGCAAAAACTGACTCAAAGAGAATATCCTGAAAGTTCAAATCACGTTATAGATATCCAGGTTACAGTTCCAAAAAAGAAGCAAATTGCTAAATTCAGAGTTTCACCCTTAAAATGTTTGCCACATATTTTATGCCAAAAAATTTAGGCCGGTCTTAAAAGTAAGGTATCACTTTATTTGCACCGGAGGAATAAATGACCAGAGCTCGGTCATCCAATTTTAACTTTTTAGTAGGCTCGTTTGAACACTGAAATTCAATCAGGGTGGCCATAGAAATTTTAAATTGTAATAATCACTTTTCTAAGTTGTCTCTGGCCGATATTGAGACAGTCGCTGGCTTTAAAAACCAAATGAAAAGATAAAAAAATTAAAACTTTCCGAATTTTCTCCTCCGACTGGCAGTTAATATGAAGCATACGAGAAAAATCGGCATTTCCGTTAACAAAATTTGTCCCTAACTTTTGGGTGATTTTCCTCTTTTCCCTGAATCTTTCTTGTTTTCCCTGACCCACACGTTTATACTGACTTGCCTTGTTTACCCCCTGACTGTGGCCACCCTGTTCAATAGGTTTCAGCTAGCAGTGGTACGAAAACATACACAAATGAATAAAAAATCATGATAACAATAAATAACGCCTACTGATAAGAATAATACTCAATGAAATAAGTAACAATGGCATTACAATGATACAACTGAACCAAAAGTCAAAACTGCACATAAAAATCTATGATCCGTGACAATACAACACAAACTAACTACTGGAAAACACCTCAAGTAACAAATGCTTCAACAGTGAATATACATGAGACAGCTGTAATAAAAAGAGAAAACAATTGTAGGATTTCTATACCGGGGTTTTTGGTAACTTCCGTCGCGTCGGGGAGGCCAGTGATTTGTCGGCTTCGTTTTCTGAAAGCAAAGCAATTCACCACCATTTCAGTCGCGCCGAAACCAGTTTCAACCTACTTTAAATCTCACTTGACCTTTAGACGTACATGAAGAAAGCTCTGAATGTGTGAAATTAAATGGAGAAAATTCTCTACGACTCAAATTATTTTATTTTTCATTCGAATGGAGTCTTTTAATTCGGACAAAAGCAAACTTGTCAATAATAACGAAACAATCTTATTGAATTAAAGAAACCTCATCTGAGTAAAAACACGATTTAATAAATGTATCATTGCCTAATATGAACCGTGTTTGCAACAAAGAAATGTAACCGGGTAGTGATTTGGTTCAATAAAATACAAAACGCCTTCAAGTTTACGTTTATGCAACACATATATCTTTTGAGCATGTATAGTTGCTTCCACGCCTCGTATTCTCTTTACTCGCAATCTTCGTTGATAGCAAGCAATTATCTTACGCTAAGCGAACAATAGAGCGTAGTTAGCTCTAAACTCTTTCCTACTTGAGAGAAAAAATCACAGTCCACCTATGTAGGAAAATTGATAGTCTGATTATCTGGAATTTTAATTTTTGCGCGACAATTATTCAATGACGGAGAGTAAAATGAAAAGAAAATACCGCTAACAGGTTAAAAAGTCATGAGTTTCGTTCCCTCAAGTCAAAAACATGTAATGTTCACAGAATTTATTAGGAAGTTGCGCAATGTCTGTAGGTATATCGCAAATTTATAAGTGAAATTTTTCATGTTTTTATGGCAAATTATGGCATTTTCTGAACTCTTTTTTTGCGACACCACTTTTAGACTTTACTTTTTTTTGTGCCACAATTAATGAGGGTGCTAACACAATTAACTAAAAATGTTCATATCATCCATCAACCTCGCGCTCTCTTTTCTGTGGACCCTCGGTTTTCACATTTATCAACACAGATTCGTCCAGAACAAAATGTACCGTCAATTGGACCGCGTTAAGCAAAAAGGAACCAAGCCACATCAGCTATTGCCAGTATTAACTGGGTAGTTTAATTTTTTACATGGAAACGATTGTGTGGGTTTTTTGTGAAAATTTCAGTTAATTTTCTGCATAACACTAAGCAAATTCCTTACAATTTTCATGAGAATCTACACAAACGTTCTCTTGTAAAAAATTAAATTTCCCAGTTAAATTTGGCAATAGCTGATGTGGCTTGGTTCCTTTCTGCTTAACGCGGTCCAATTTGTCCTGGGATTTGAGCAGAGCAGTTACACTGCCAAGAGTTGGACAGAGAGCGCAGGATTGGCAAGCGAGCGACAGAACATTGGGAAAAGTCAGAGTGCGAGCTGACAAAGGGCTGACGCTCAAACTAACTTCCTTGTTTACATCCTCCCTAGAGCACGAGCCGGGGCGCGGGTCGGGATCCTCTGTTTGTGTTTGGAGTTGTGACGCTTGAATTGCGCGCTATTTCTAAGTGCCGTCTCAGCCCTAGATCAGGTCGAAGACTTCTCCCGAGATAGACCTTCACCGTTTGCGACATTCATGAGCCCACTTGTCTCAACTCTACCTGTGAGGCATAGAGTGCATAGAGTCGTAATGTAAGAGGGAAAGCTGGCGCCACTTTCAGGCATTTTCCAGGTCCCGAATTCCGAGACTCCTGTAAGACGCCGGTAACTTTTTCGATACATAATCGATTGTCTTCGATACCGGCCATCCAATGAAACAAAGATGATAGAAATGGAGATGTTGCATGTGTGAGGGATTTGCGATTTGACGATTGATTCTCATGTAAAAGTTCGCGAGAAACACGATGGGGCCACTGGTTTTCTCTGAAATCAACTCCCAACCTAAAAAAAGCTCTCAAATTGAGGCCAAATGGAGGGGACATCCCACGCTATCTTGAGAGTCCAATCCTACATCAAGACAAACCCTCCATACAAAGATAGGGAGCAAATACATTGATAGGGTTGCTGTGATTTGAGTTTTAGAGTCCCCAAATAAGGTGGTAGTCCTGTCAATGTATTTGCTTCCTATTTTTGCATGGAGAGTTAGTCTTGATGTAATGGTGGACTCTTAGGATAGCGTGGGATATCCCCTTCATTTTGGCCTCAATTTGAGAGCTTTTTTTGAGCTTGGGAATTGATTTCAGAGAAAATCAGTGGCACCATCGTGTTTCTCCCGAACTTTCACATAAGAATCAACAGTCAAATCACAAATTCCTTACACATGAAACATTTCCATTACTACGCATTCCACACCACCATTTTGGATCGAACATGTATCGAAAAAGTGACCTAAGCTCGGCCCACACCGGGCTCGGAACTCGTCGAGCAGAACATGGCGCCGGCTTTCCCATTTACATTACGACTCTATGTACTCTACGCTGTAAAGAGACTCTGAATGGAACGAGGTAAGGTATTCTAAAATAAAAGCGGGTACTCGCATTCTCGTCTTACGCGGAGAGGTGATTGGTCAATCAAAAAATGAACTATCCACGGGACTATGCATTTTGGGGTCGCCGTATAATGAACCGTTAGAGCTGGATAGTCCATTTTCTGATGAGTCCTGTGATTTGAAACGCGCGAAAAAACGTCCATAAGCGCTAGGCTAAAGCAGTAGATTACCGCCGCGCGGTGGATCAAATCAATCAGAGAGGTCGGACATGAAATGTTTTACTAAAACTGCAAATTTTGATGTTTAATTCGTCACAATTTAAACTTTGAGAGGTGCTTCTAGAGGAACATTTCACGAGGAAACCAATGGAACAATTTTTATATTCTCAAAGTATAGATTGAACGGAGTTATATGCTTTTAAAGTTTCCACATTATGTCCGACCTCTCCCATTGACTCGATCCACTGTGCGCCGTTACGAACCAGGTTCGATCCCGGCGGCTGGCGACTGATTTTTAACGAGGTCGAAGATTTCAAACACAAAGTCGATTCGACACACGGAAAACTAACACACAAAAAATTAACCAATAATTTGTGATACTTCGTGTTTTACTTCCCACAGTAACACAAAATCAAGACCAATCTATACAGGTCAGTCATTGCGCATCTTTTTGAAATCCACTCCCCCGCCCGGCCGTGACTCGGCCACAGTCAATGTGACGTCACATTGGCTGCTCCCGTAGAAAATACATGGCAGACAGTCGATTCTACGTCACTGCGCAGTAGATTTCCAAAACTCATCTTCGGGAATGAATGACCTGTGTAAATGGGTCTTGCGCAAAATTTTGGTTACTTTTTCTTCCTGTGTATCACAAAATTCGGGTGGACGGAAGAATACTATGTTACCGGAATCGAACATTCAACAAATAGGGACTAGTCTTCTGGAGAAGTATGAGTGTGTTGGACTTACCTAGAGTGAGTCCCTGCATGTTGTATCCGGAGTTCTTGCGTTGGGAGGCAGGCATGGGCTCGTCGAGGAGGTCGCACATGCGGAGGTCGGCGCCGTGCTCCACGAGGAGCTCCACCACGTCCCCCGTCCGGTCCATCACGGCGCACACCTCCTCGAAACTCCGGTCTGTTAGCGCCACGTTGTTCCACTCCAGAACCTGCACGCAAAGCACCCATGATAACTCACAGCCGATAAAAACCGAGATATTTACGGGTCTTTTCGAAATACTACGCACACCATATCATGAAATTTGGCGCCGAAAAAATTTCGATATTATTTGAAATACTACGCACACAATATTGAGAAATTTGGCGCCAGATAAACTCTGATATTATCTTAAATGGTACTTTGCACTAGGGGTATGGATTCGATCGACATGAATCGATCGAAAAATACGTAAAAACGTTGATCGGTCGACGTAAACCGACTGACATGAATCGATCGAAAAATAAAAACGTGAACCGATCGACGTGATTTGATCGATAGCTGTGAATCAACCAACACATCCGTGAATCGACGGACAAAACCGTGACTCGATCGACACACCCGTGAAACGATCGACAAACCTCTTCAATCGATCGAATTTTGTCGATCGTATCACGTCGATGGGTTCACTATTATATTTTGCGATCGGTTCATGTCGATCGAATCCATACCGTCTGTTCCACACGACTTCCTGCAGGGCCGGATTTATCTACTTGCCGCCCATGGGCCGCCTGTATTTTTCCGCCCCCTTCTAATTTGTTTTGAAACATCAATAGCTCGTATTCGACAGGGGTTCGATGTACACCGTTTGGTTCAAAACAATAGAACACAACATCAAACAAAAATTTTAGGATTTAATTCGGAAAAGCTGAAAATAATGAAATTCCGAACAGTTCCACTTTTCATTACCATTTGGTACTCGAGAGAATAAAAATTTGATCACATAAGACCCGTTACCTTAGATTTCTAAATTGACTTTTGAGGCTATGGTTACATATTGAACCAATCGATATCAATGTAATCTCACCTGTGTGATCTGTCGAATACGATCTGTAAAAACCATCAAGTGAACGTGCCGGCGGGGGAGGGGTGCAAAGACGCGTTTACTCGTGTTGGGTTTTTTGTGAAAGCCCTGTCAACACTAACAAAAGTTCAGTTCCATAAACCCATCCCTGTTTGGACAAGGCCTTCCATTTATAAAAAACGAACGAAAAAATTATGAAAAAACAAACATAAATGTGGTTAATAATAATTTTAACTTCCGCCGCTGCGCCGACCGCACTGTATTTGGCGCAATGCGTGAAGTATTCATACAGTCCTGTAGGCGCTATGCGTTTCACGCCGACCCCTGCTGACCACACTGTTTGGCGCAATGCGTGAAGTATTCATGCAGTCTTGTAGGCGCTATGCGTTTCAAACTGACTGCTACTGACCGCAGTGTGTTTGACGCAATGCTTGAAGTCTTCATGCAGTCTTGTAGGCGCTATGCGTTTCCTGCCGACCGCCGCGCCGCTCCGTTCCAGGTCAAATTGCGTGTTCGGTTTCTCTCTTAACTCGACTAATTAAAGATGTTGTCTCTTGTATCACCGAAAGACGACAAAATTAGAAATTACTTTTTTTACTCTCAGGAAATGAGAGATTTTGTCGCCTTTTCTCGTTTGTAATTTACTTTCTGAATAAGATTTTTTTCTTTCTTTTTTTGATACCTACATTCAAAAAGATTGCAAAATTTGCCGCCCCCTACATTTTGCCGCCATGGGCCGCGGCCCATGTGCCCACCCCCTTAATCCGGCCCTGACTTTCTGAGAACGTTGAGCTCTTAAAATCGAATTTTCTCTGTGCCAATCTCGAAAAAAGGGGCGAGCGGTACTAGGTGTGTAGGTGTGTAGATGTGTAGATGTGTAGGGTTGATAACATTTATGGGGAGGGAGAAGGTGGATAAAATAATAAAACATGAAAAAAAGGATATAAAACTTCCGTCTGGAATCATGTTTCTGCAGTACAGCGATTTATTCATACCTCTATCAAAATAGAGAAATGTTACGTCTTGCCTGTTTAGATTATAAGTATAAAATTACAAAAAATACTCTGCTCATAAAAATGGAAAACAATGAACGACAGATGATTTTACCTTGTCTCCTTGTTGTAATCCTGCTTTTTCTGCTGGACCACCGGGTACCGTCCACACGATGTATGCGAACAGTCTTCCGTCGGACCCCATCTTACCACCTACCACTCGCATTCCAAAACCTCGAGCTGCAAAATAAACAGTGTCAAACATTCGAAGCGTGTAGGATCCAATGAAGACAAGGGCACAACAGAACGAAAATGAGATAATAGCACCAACAACACTCCTGTAAGAGCAATATTGCGAATGCCGTTTTTTCGGATACAACTTATTGACAGTTAGAAATTGGCACCAAGTTATGTAAAAATATTGCAATTAACGACTAATTTCATGGTACAAAATTTGAAATTTTATTGCATTAAATCGCAATTTTGTTTCAGTATTTTTAATGCACTGCACTACTTGCAATCAATGTGAACAAGAAAAATAATGAAATCAGGGTTGTCATAATTTCTTCAAATTCAAATTCCCCGACTTCTTTGTTTTTCTCTGACTTCGTAGTTTTCTAATTCTCTCAGTTTTATTGACTTTTCCCGACCTTTTACCACATATTTTTTTTATCTCTTTGAATACGCAGATTTTTGCTGAAAATTGGACAAAATTTCCTTCTTTAGATATTAAATTGGACCGCGCAAAGCAGAAAGAAACCAAGCCACATCAGCTATTGCCACATTTAATTGGGCAATTTAATTTTTATATCAAAAAGGTTCTTCGGATTTTTGTGAAAATTCCAGTGAATTTTCTGCATAGTGCAAAGCAAATTTATTGACATTTTCAAAACAGGGATCCGTGCAAACGTTCTCTTGATAAAAATTAAACTGCTCGGTTAAAGGCAATTCTGATGAAGCATAGATTATTTCTGCTACAAACGTGATCCAATTATAGAAAAAGTCATTCAATAGCTGGCTAAATGACTGCAAGCTTTAAATGTGACCTGAAAGGGCAGGCAGTTGGAAGATCAGTGATATGTTTTAGTGATTTACTTAGATGAGTTAGAAATTCCCCGACTTTTCCCAGGAATTCCCTGATAACCGTGGAGATTGAGAATAAAAGGGGTGACTTACTCCTTCGCGTATGGTCGGCGGGATCGCGCCTGAGGACGAGCCGCCGTTTGGAATTGGAGCGTTGATCACAGTCTACGTCATGTATCACAATTTTGATGTCCTCCGCCGCGGAAACGGACGCCTGCCGCCGGATCGCCTCCTCGTCCGGCCCCGAGGACCGCGCCGGGTTCGAGGAGCGGCTCAGCGCCTGCGGAAGACCAGCCTTGATCGCCGCCAGATCCGGCCTAAAACATCAGAATACACCGCAAACTCAGTGCAAATTCGGTGCAAATTAAGTTCCGAAAAAATATCCGAATTTGTCGAAATTTCAGGGAAAAAATTCTGGAATACGCCCGAATCTAGATCGGAAGATTGTCCAGTTCAATAGAGGATCCGTCGAACTGGTTATAGGACATTTCGTCAACGATTTTTTGTCCGCGCACCTGTTTTTTCCAGTAATTTATGTCACACAGAGCGGTGCGGCATGCTGCCAACGCGGAACGCGCAATGGCGCCTACAAACCTAACAGGGATACTTCACGCACAGCGTGGAACGCGCACTGGCGCCTACAAACCTAACAGGGATACTTCACGCACAGCGCGGAACGCGCACTGGCGCCTACAAACCTAAGTGGATACTTCACGCATTGCACAATGCTTGAAGTATCCACTTAGGTTTGTAGGCGCCAGTGAGCCTCGCGCTGGCAGCACGCCGCTCCGCTCTGTTAGGCTTTAATATTTATACTCGCAAAGTCAGCGTTCTTTCTGCGTATTCTGTGAAAACTCCAACAAATTCCGAAGATTCCGGGAGTGGTTCCGATTGTTTGAAAAGTTTCGAAAGTCGGAATTGATTCCGGGTAATGGCAGCACTGCGGAAATTAATTCCGTAGTCTTAAAATACTTGCAGAAAAGAACCTTATATGTAAAGATGAAAAATTAAAAAACTGGTTCTGGTTCTGATGAAAAAAATTGAGATCTTTCTGAGTTCTTTGTTTAAAACAAGTTTTTTCGACTCAAAAACAAAAAAAATGCGCATAAGTTAACTGAAAAATGATTATTTTAGGTTTAGAACCATGAAAGACTTAAGGTATGCAATTTTAGACGATTTTCTGTCAAAACCGGACCTCGCTATCATTTTTTGTTCGAAAGATATCGAAGTTCAAAGGTTTTGACTTGCATTCCCCTAGCGGCCCCCAAAAATTTTTGGAGGTCTGATTTGAGAAAGGAAGCAGGAAGAAAGTATGAGTAATCAATAGACCAAGTTTGGAGAACATTCAAGTGGAAAGCGAGGGCAAAAAATCTCGTGTTTGCATAGGACTCTGCGCTCTGTAAGTGAAACACTTGGTTAGATGCACAACAACGAGAGTAAAAGACTACGAGATCTTCAATATACAGAATATCTATAACGGTGGTTGTTTTTACGCCTCTTCGGAATGCACGTAAACCCTGGGCTACCATTCAGTTTAAAGCTAAATTTCATTTAAAGGAATGATCATTGGAAAATTGGTTCGTGCAGAACTTTGTGTGGATATTCCTATCCACAATTCCTCTGCAAGTAATTGTTTCAATTTCACCTCGCCACTTCACTTACTTACTAACTTTAAATTACAGTAGTTCCGGTGATGGAATAATAAAGCGGGGAAAAATTTTCCTTTTCAACTCCTCTCCATTTAACTCCTCCTCTTTAACTGCATCTCCATTCAGAGAGCATAATTCGCAACAAGCGTATACAGTGTCGGAGTGCTATCCTGTTGTAAATTATTTACGACTCACTGTATCTATGTGAAGCACCACAATTCAATTCAAAAACTATTTTTATGACTTTTCGAAGGTCGTGAGATAACCTCGTTGCTTGGTGTTGGATCCGTTGTGATGGGCTCTCTTTGTTTCAGCAGTCGTTTAGAGAGCTGCTCAACTAGTGGATATTGCATTTTGTTACAGATGAATGGTGACTAAAAACCTTCATTTCCACCAGCCTATACAACTGAAAGACTAAAATTATTAATTGCCAAGGTTATAAACTTACAGCGTGAACGTGATTGCTGTTCTGCCAGATACTTAAATATTACAGGCTTTAAAATACTAACGTTGTTGTGTTGTTAGTGCCAATCCAATTAAAGTAAGAAAAATTGTTTAAAAAAATTGTCCCTCCCTAAAATGAACCCTGATGGCTTGACGCAAAAAAAGAAAAAAATAGCAATTGTTATGTTCGGGCATAATCTGAAAAATGCCGACCAAAATTGAAACAATACGCTCTTGAATTTAAAATGATATCATTAATTGTTACATTCCGTGTCAAATAAAACTGTTTATCAACTTACAGCTGAGATCCCCTTCTCCGGGTTTTCCTTTCTTCGTCTAGACCTAAACTAGAGGGATCTGTTGATTGCATATGGGCGGCATCTGAAAAAAAATATGCGAGAATTAATTGTGAGACCACACGGAAAAAAGCACTTCGAGATAATTTCACTCGCATACATCAGTCGTCAGCGTTAATTGCCTCTCGTAAAACTAGTCCAAAACAAAAAGCCTTTGATTGATTACGTATCGTGCAATAAACTTGTAGTGTCATGCGGGTATTAGCGGCTAGCCAGTTGGAAACTCCTCAGCAAAACTCACGCATGCAGAGACATTTTTACGCCTTGGTTACGTATTGTGTGACTCTCCTCCTTCTTGCATTTCCTGTACATGTAAAAGTGACGTGAGACGATCGTCAGTCGCAGTCCAGAGGTGCGTGAACTTATTGAACGTGGACGCTACTAACTTGCAAGAATCATCACTGATGTGAAACTGATACAACGGATTCAATTTCTCTGTAGCCCTTGTTGCATGACCGCTGAAATGAAGGAGCACTGAATGTCACACGATGATCGATGTGATGGCAGCGAAAAAGAGATACAATTTCATGCAATTTTACTATCTGGAGCCTTGGATTGTAGATGAAATAGAATTTTACGAACTAAATATGTCAAAAATTGATGGTACTTACTTGCAAGTTCCTCGGCCTCGACGGCTGTGGGAACTCTGAAAGATGATCGGCGTCGCTCAGGGTCCATGCGGCCCATTATGCCCCCGGCCTGGTAGACGTCGTACGCCGAGGCCCGACGCGGCAGTTGAGCGGGAAGGCCTACACAACAAATAGAAGGAGCGACATGATGAGGATAAGCGAGAAATCTGAAAATTGTATTTATCATCACGAACAGAAGTAGGCGACTGAGCTTACAGGTTAATCGACTTCGGATGTAAACAAACATCAAGATATTACACACATCTTGCCAAAATACTAGTTTCACTTAAAATTTGTGAAAATTAAACTAATTAACTACGCCTAGAGGCACATTTCAGTTGTTTTTTATCTCAAAGCTAAATTAAGGTTTCGGGTTTTATCGGGTTTAACAGACGTGATTTTTTATTTTTTGCGTAAACGCACAGTCGAATTATGCTTCTAAGCGTCATGGATCCGTTTCTCCAATTTTTCAACGAAATTATATTTCCAAAGAGACGTCTGAGTGTGTCACTGGTTGAAACTTTAATTTTTTATTCCGCCAGAGCACAAACCTCTGATAAATTTCAAGCTGGAATGCTACTTCGTGCATTCAGGCGATACAGAATTGGAAAAGGATATTTAAAACCAATATTTTGTGACTAGAACACCGATGCATTGCTAATTTCGAATAAAACTCTCAAACGAGTCATTAAAACATGTGTAAATACGTTCAACATAGCCCTGAGTGGTTCCGCCGAAAAAAATCGGGCAATCGAAGTATAAACAAAACACAAAGTTAATCGACTAAAAATGAGTACGGGAGTCCGGAAGAGTTGAATATGCAGGTAAACAATAGCCTAAAAGGATATGAATATTTGTGGCAAAAAAGAACAACAACAAATAAACGGAAACGAAACCAGAACGAAGCCTTTTTCAAGGCAACAAAGCTTGCATTGAGCAACGATACACAGTAGCCTTCCATTGGCGCCGGAGTGGGAATATGTATTTTAGTGATAGAAGACACCTATTGCCAATATTTGGTATTCTCGTGATATAATTTTTTTAAAATTTTGATTTACAAGACTGTCCACAAAATAAAGGACTATAATACGCGGAGGCAAAACCACTGAGGGACAATTTTTATAGAATTGGATCGAAACATTGGATTTTGAGCTTTCGACGGGAAATACTAACTACTTTTCTACGGAGAATTTTTCGATGGTAAAAGTGAACATTTTATCCGAGATATCAATATAGTAGAGATTGGCTCTCGAAGCGAGATGGAATTTTTTTAGACCAAAGACGGGGGCTCAAATGGATCGCGTTAAACAGAAAGGAACCAAGCGACATCAGCTACTGCGAAATTTAATTGGGCAATTTTATTTGCTACAAGAAAACGGTTTTGCGGATTTTCGTGCAAATTTCAGTGCATTTTCTTCATAGTACGAAGCAAATTCCTCAAAATATTCAAAAGAATCCATACACACGTTCTCTCGTAAAAAATTAAATTGCCCAGTTAAATTTTGGCAATAGCTGATGTGGCTTGGTTCCTTTTTGTTAAACGCGGTCCAAATCTGGGTCTCAATCAATTTGTTAGTTTTCTCAAACTATTCATATTTTAATATTGAACGCTTTCGTCCTGCAATAGGACACATTTTCTCTTTTTGCGATCTCGCGTTGCCTTGGTTTGTTAATCCTTGTTGAAGGTGCGCCAATGCCAGCGGTGAAAGTAAGGAGTAACATTGAAATGGTCTATAAAACTTTTAATTAAATGCCCACGTAAAATTTTTCTCTTCTAATTAATTATTCCTCACAAGCACGCAAGATGCATTTGAAAGATTCATATCTCGTCGCTGGCAACAACGAAGTAAACATTCGGCTGACTGGCACTTTGCCTCATGTTAACAATTTATCATCCGCTTCTCCAGCGAAAAGTTTCAACTTTCCTACCTCCTTTCCTCTAAGCATATAAGCTGGCCCGTGAGTGTGACTAACTGAATAATAGCTTACATGCAACAGGTTGTTCGAGCCTGATTCCCGGTGCCTTTTGTCTATTCCGTCTTTCAGAGATCGCATCGCTGTGAACGTGTCGCGTGTCGCGCGTCGCGCTCGGCAGGAAAATTAGCAATAAATTCTTGGAATTCGGTTCTTCGGAGGTTCATTAACGCCGAGTTGTCGGCACATTCCTTCGGGAAAAATTCCATTCCCGTGTCGCCCCCTTCCCACCGAAGTTTCCTTCGCCAAGCAAATCGGGCTTTCTCCGCCCGCGAGGTTTGGTGAAAAGCGATAGTATGCCAAATTCCATCGTTGAGAGGAATGGAATTATCTCGTTGAGCAATCTTTACGGGATTGGCGTTGGATTCAATGCACTGAACAAAATCCATTTGTTGTGGTTTTCTCATATTATACAGGCAGTCCGAGTTTTTATGGCAATTGTTCACCTCGATTATTTTCAGAACATTTACCCGACCGCACCTCTATATAGTCCTTTCGAGAATGATTCGGTGGTTAATTGATCAGCTGATAAAATATGAGTTCAAAAATCCTTGAAGGTTGCATTAGGTTGTAAAGCATTCCGTTTTTAACTGGGAAGGGTTGAAAAATGCTTTTGAGTATCTCTCACAGCACGGCCCGAGAGAAAAACTCAGATCGAAAAGCAAAGCTATTTGCGGTATTTACCGGAAAGGTACTTACGAAGTTATTTCAAAGTTATTCCCGATCAAATTTCGTATATAGAAACCTGATTTTTTCCCCAAGGATTTTCGAAAAATGATACACAATTTAAAAATTGCCAATCAGTCAAGTGTCTTTAAAAACGTGTTCGAAAGTAGTCTCCGCAAATCAACCTTTACTAAAAGTCGATGAATTCCTATCTCTAAAAAATTTCTTCCAAGATCTGAGGTCCCTTTTTTCGTGGAACTCTCCAGACATCCATCTTTAAACTTGACTAATATGTTCGAGGAAAAATATCTAATTTCCAAGTTTAGGCAGGAGGTTTGAATCATCTCCCTCTCCGATGACACCAAAAGGGTGCGTTCTAGAATTTATCTTTTTGAGTAGCGATTCAATCCAAATCCATCCAAGCGTTCCTAGGTTCCGTGATTCCATCCAGGTTGATGAATCCAAGCGTTCTTGGAACTCGGAGTGAGTGACTCATGACGTCATTACTTTTTCATCCAAATGCATCCGATCAACCCACCTCGGGAGATGGATTTAGCCGTGACTCTCGGTGACTAACCTCAAAAAGTTCGAATCCCGCCAAAGTAGCCAGTTACTTGTCCCCTGTGAAAAGTTTTTATCATCTTTTTTTCATCTAATTTAATAATACTTAGGTAACCTGTCAAGTTTAACTTTTATTTTTCATTAGTTACGATCTAAATACTAAAACGTTACTTTGATCATCATCAAGAAAACAACTGCATTCATCCAAGCGTTCTCTGAGATTCTCGTTTGACGATCCATCCGACTCCATCCGTGTCGTCATGACCCACGTCATCTCCGTTCATCTCCGTTTTTTGGATTAAATCCTAAGATGAATTCTAGAACGCACCCTAAGTTATAGAAAAGGATAAACTAAGGATGCTGACCTAGACCGATGTCGTTGCCGATGGTGGCGGCACCTGGCGTTGAGTTGTTTTTAACCTCGTCGTCGTAGCTGTGCTGTTTCTGGACCCGGGATTTCCGCCTCGTTTTCTGCATCACCCTGTCGCCGCCCCGCCGCCATCTGCTCTCCGGGTCATCACCGTCCTCCCCCTCCATTTCGTTATCTGCAAAATAAACGCCTTTGGAGCGTCACGTGCGTGAGAATGGCGGATGCCAGCGGCGTGGCGTGAATTGCGATGTATCGATTGTTATGCTATTTGACCCTATGGCAAAGAATCGATTATTAAGGTGTTCGCTGCGAACACCCTGTCTATCGATCTTTTTCCATAGGTTTAAATGGCATAACAATCGATAAATCAAAATGCACGCCACGCCACTGGCGGATGCCCCATTAAAAATGCGTAGGGCATCTGCCGTTGTTACAAGCTGAATCTTAAAACAAGAATAAAGCCTCGGGGAGGATAACAACTTCGGATACTTGGACCGAACTTCGGTTTACACGGAACAACAAAGTTTGAGATCAAGCTAGCCGCAGTTAGAGTACCTGTATAGGGAGAGTAGCGACAGATCGGTTCATGGAGGGCTTAGGGCCCAAAAGTGCAGCCACCCTTCTGAGCAACTTCTAACACACAAAATTTCACTGCCAGCCTACAGAATTCAATTCTAACCAAGATGGCTAAGAATGTACATAAATGAGCGTTCTTTCGCAAAAATGAGTAAATTTATGCAAAAAGTAAACCAAATACATGCTTTCTAAACGACGGTTCGTAACAATTGTATTTGTAAATCGCTCTGGACATTCGAAATTCATAGGTTGGCTGCCCTTTTGGGCCCTAACTTTATTCGCGGAGGCATCGGTGAAGGCCTGATGGACTTTCGGAGTTTCAGATCTGTCGCTACTCTCCCTATACAGGTACTCTAGCCGCAGTAGCAGCTCTGGAAACTGAGATTCGGTTCAGCAGGAAATAAAAGACTTTGGTAAGGGAAAAAAAAACAAATTTTCATATGGTTGGATAAAAAAATATAGATAACTTAAACCGCAATTCAGTCCTTATGACCTAAAAGTTCGGTTGCCTGGACTGAAAATGAAGGTGTTCCGAACGAATCAAATTTTATCCAAAATTAGACAGTATGTTATGCAAAGCCCACCCTTCCAAATATTGCAATGTGCAATCGAATTCAGCAAAAGTTACAATCGGAGGTATACACTATTGTTTGCCTAAAAATGGGCAAATTGTTAAGTCTCTTATCATTAGCTTTTATCCTTTTATAAGGCTACGTGAATTCACAAAAAAAAAAAACACTTACCACCTAGGTTCATTTGTGAGGTTTTGGGCTGTTGTCGCAGGTCACCTGGCAGCCCTCTTCGTTCTATCGATGGACTATTTCCACCAAGGCCTTTTGGACCCCACTGTTGTAATTCCCTTTCCCTATTTACTTTAAGAACAGTCTGTAATCATAAAAGCAAATATTGATATAAAGATGGGCACGATGCAAATGAGGAGCAGGAGAGGGTAAAAAACCAATTTTTTAACGTACAAAGTGCCCTCTCCTGTGTAAAATTTCTTATTGAAATTTTTAAAAAACGTATGTGCCTCTTTCACCAATTAGGATTTTTGTTAACTTATTACGATCAGAAACTTTAATTTGATAGCTTTGATTAACTCTTACAGGTCAATAAATCATTGTTTACCAGAGAAAGGAACGTATTTCCATTTATATGTTGAAAAAATGACTTGAGCAATTCAATTTTATTACAAGAATGAGACTGTGGAATTTCTGTCCCACACATTTAGACGTAAATTTAGAAGGGAAATCAGTATACTTTGAGTTAGAAATGCCCAACAGAATCTTTGTAGAAATAAATTTCGCACATTAAAAATTCGTATGGTTGAAATGAGCCTTACATCACAAAACGAACCAAAATTAGATGGTCACTCTTCAGATTCAACCTGCAGAGTAGAATTCATTTCTCACAAATGAAATTCAATGTGAATATTACTGGTGGCATTGACCGTCAGACTATTAGAGGAGGGGTTTCGATAAGGGTTGTTTTTGGACCCACATTTAACTCGGACTTTTTGCTTATTGTAGGTCTATATCCTTCAGAATGCGTCTAGGGTTGGTCATTTCTGGTCTCTTTTCGGGTCTAATACTGGCCTGAACATGGGCCTGAGGGCCGATTTTGGCGGAAAATGTGGGTTTGCGGTCGAATGCCGAGAAATCCAAATTATTCGCCACAATCGTCCCTCAGACCCATGTTTAGGCCAGTATTAGACCCGAAAAGAGACCAGAGGTAACCAAATCATGATACATCCCGTAAAATTAGGACCTTCAATGAGTAAAAAATCGTAGAGTAGGGGAAATTTAGCAGAGTTGGGCCCTGAAACGTTCATGATTCGTACCCCTTCCTTATAAATTCCTCGAGTTCCGGGAAAAGGGGGCAGTTCCGGGAAGAGAGACAGTTCCGGAAAAAAGGAGGCAGTTCCGGAAAAGGGGGCGGTTGTTTTGGAAAACCCCACTGACGTGGACGCAGAGTGAGTCGGTTGCGTACCTTCTCTAGTTCCTTGAGCGAGGCTGGCGAGACGTCTGAGTGCCTGCGGAGCTCCGGGGAGCGGGGCGGGGCGAGGCCGGAGCCGAGACCGCCGGCCCCGCCGGAGCTCGAGGAGCCGATCTTGACGTCCGAATGACGTCGCTGCAGCGTGTCCACGCACGGCACGCCCAGGTTGCTGTCCGTCGAGTCTTGCGTCAGGATCGGCTGCGTCCGGTTCTGGATCTTCATCTTGCACACGCTGCACCGCCACGTGTTCTGGAAAAGAAACCAGCCTCATTTTGCACAGGACTCAGTTCGAAACAGATAAAGCGAGGGAGATCGGTGATACATTTGCCTTCAATCACAATATATAGGCAAAAATGGACGCACAGGAGATGAGATGGTGGTATCTTTAAGCCTATGTTACAATTATTGTTATCTTAGGGGGCTCCACTACAATTTTGTTGAGGGTTTTACAATCATTTTGATAATTAGACAATTTCAAAGCTGTGAGACTTACGTTTACGCAATAGTAGAGGTAATTTTCACTGTAAGTTTAACTCGGCTCACACTGTCTCTAGAGAAGAGAACTTGTATAGGGAGAGTATGGACATGTTAGTAATTTTATGGCTACGTTATGGCACTTTTAGGACACTAAAGGGCAGGCAACCTATGAATTCAAATTATCCAGAGTGATTTATTATTTCAAATGTTAAGACCTGTTGTTTGTAAAGGTTTATTTGACTCATTTTTTGTATGAAGTGACTCAGTTTTACAGAAGAACGCTCCTTCATGAACATTCTTGCCCATATTGGTTTGATATAGGAATCTGAAGATTAGCAGTGACATTTTTTGTGTAGAAAGGTTGGCTGCTCTTTTGGGACCTAGGAGTTCTATGCTTCGACAGATGTACGTACTCTTACTGGACCGCGTTAAGCAGAAAGGAACCAATCCACATCAGCTATTGTTAAATTTGGACCGCGTTAAACAAAATGGAACCAAGCCACATAAGCGTTTGCCAAATTTAATCCGGCAATTTAATTTTTAACATGAAATCGGTAGTGCGGATTTTCGTGGAAATTTCAATGAATTTTCTTCATGGTACGAAGCAAATTCCTTAAAATTTTCAGAAGAATCCACAAAAACGTTCTCTCGTTAAGAAAAAAATTGCCTAGTTGAATTTGGCAATAGCCGATGTGGCTTGGTTCCTTTCTGTTAAACGCGGTCCATTTAATTGGGCAATTTAATTTTTCAAATGAAAACAGTTGTGTGGATTCCTTTGCCCCCAGTGAATTTTCTGCATAGTGAGAAGCATATCCCTTATCATCTAAAGAATTCGCACAATCGTTCTCTTGTAAAAAACTAAATTGCCCAGTTAAATTTGGCGATAGCTGATGTGGCTTGGTTCCTTTCTGCTAAACGCGCTCCAACCGCCTCTCCTCCTGCTAAACGACATGCATTGATGGGGAAGTCTGGGAAGCGGGGCTGGGAAAAAATAACGAGGCTGAACTCACTTTCTCGACGTTCTCGCGGAGCTCGGAGTAGGAGGCGCAGTCCTCGCAGACTTTGAGATTGCACTCGCAGCAGATCATTTGAATATCCTCCCGCTTGAAAACTTTGAGGCAGACGCGACACACCCCCTCCTTGCTCCCCATCTCCTTGGCTCTGAAACAACACAAATTCCCACAATTTCAAACTTCCCCGTCGAGTCACCATCCGCAACGACGACGGCCGATCGCTCGGAATCGTGCGCCGCTCACGGAACCCCCATTCGGGATCCACCGTTTTTCCGGAGTTACCGTCAATAATGGGGCCTGTTGCACTGCCGCGTCGGGTGAGCATTCGGCTGTTGCCAAACCCCCGGTAAATCTTTATTTCGGCGGAGGAATATCATAGAGTAGAATAGAGTTGCAATGCACTAGAGCGCCGATGAAGTCAATCCTGGAACGATGCAATGGAGACGTTACATGTGTGAGGGATTTGCAATTTGACCATTGATTCCTGTGTAAAAGTTTGCGAGAAACACGATTGTGCCACTGGTTTTCTCTGAAATCATCTCCCAAGCTCAAAAAAAGCTCTCAAAGTGAGGCCAAAATGGAGGGGATATCCCACCCTACCCTGAGAGTCCACCTCTACATCAAAACAAACTCTCCATGCAAAGATAGGGAGCAAATACATTAGCAGGGTTGCCGTGTTTTCAGTTTTGGAGTCCTCAAATAAAGTGGCAGCCCTGTCAATGTATTTGCTCCCTATCTTTGCATGGAGAGTTTGTCTGATGGACTCTTAGGATAGCGTGGGATGTCTCCTCCATTTTGGCCTCAACTTGAAGGCTTTTTCTGAGCTTGGGAGTTGATTGCAGAGAAAACCAGTGGCACCATCGTGTTTCTCGCGACCTTTTACATAAGAATCAACAGTCAAATCGCAAATTCCTCACACATGCAACATCTCCATTCTAGCCTCCTGTTCACCAGAGAGTGGGAACCATACGGCATTTCTTCTCGCGGCGCACAGTGGATCGAGTCAATGGGGCAGGCCGGACAAAATTTGGAAACTTTAAACGCTCATAACTTAGTTCATACAAAACTTTGAGGTTATTAAAGTATTTCATCGGTTTCCTCGTGAAATTTTCTACAAGAAGCACCCCTTAAAGTTTAAAATATGATAAAATAAATATCAAAATTTGCAGTTTTTGTCAAGAATTTCATATCCGACCTCTCTGATTGACTCGATACACTGTGCGGCGGTTTATGGAAGAATCGCGGGCCGCCGCGCCAGTAGTTTCCAGGATTGATTAATTTAAATCGATGATTATTTTCGCGAATTTTGGCGAATTATATCGGCTAAAGTCATAAAAAATTCACGAAACTCCCGGTTTGCAAGAAATAAATTTTATACCAATATTTTCTGAGCGAAGCCCGGAGCTGAAGCCCTACGCGTGCGGCATTGCCATTCGCCGCACACTAGTCTCAAGAGTGCTGGAAGAAACAACCTCAAACAGTGACTTCATCGGCGCGCGGCGCTCCAATACACTGACTCAATTGTGCTCGATGATAAATATGAACAACTTGCCTTTAAATTTTCAAATACTGTAGAGTGAGTTGCAAACAAAATCTGCTGAAAAATTAGAGGCAATATAATCACCAGTGTTTTGAAAATATCGTGATCCATAAAAGGAAATTTGGACACGTTTAAAGGCTCATATGGTGTTTTTCTGAGCAAAGCAGGACATCCGTATGAATTTGTATCGGTCTCGTTTGAGATCAGTGGCGTGGCGTGCTTTGCGATATATCGATTGATCTGCCATTTAAACCTATGGAAAAGGATCGATAAACAGGGTGTTCGCAACGAGCACCTTAATAATCGATTCTTTCCCATGGCTTCAAAGGGGAAATATCGATAATCGCTCGCCATCACTGGAGTTTTCCGGGCTTGCAATGAGACGTGATGTGGTTATGCTGTCAAATGTCCCCTGATAAAATATTTATTTCTGCGAAAAAAGTGTAGATAATTTTCCTTGGAATTTTTCGATACTCTGATTTTAAATTGCGAATAAAATTCATCGAAAAACTTGAGAAGATAATCACATGTCTCCCGGAAAAATCGTTGTTTATCAAAAGAAAGTTCACTTGGTCTGTCGGGTCTTATGGCATTTTTTCTCGGCAAAGCGCAGCCATTTGTATTTTTATTGATCTCGTTCGAAACGCGAGCGTTATGCGACAAGACGCGATACGGTTGTTGCAAAATTTCCCCCATTATAATATTAATTTCCGCAGAAAATTAATAATTTTCTGACAATTCAAATATAACTTGGAATAATTTCATTCAACATACTAAGGAAAATAACCGAAAGTTTTCCGAAAAAATCGTGGCTCATCAAAGGAACTTTGGCTACGTCTACAGGCTCAAACAACGTTTATTCACTGATTGGTTTTAGGTTAACTAGCAACTTCTTCTACTCAGACGTTGACGATATCGTACGTCTTGTAATTCTGCTCAAGAGAGTGGATATATGTAGCTCGACCAGGTGCAAGGTCATTTAATATGGACGTATTTCTACCAAACAGACCTATGTGGAGGTGAGAAATATGGGGTGTGCTCGTTAATTTTCTTTGCGTACGAATGAATGGGAAATATAAAGCGCCAGTGACGTCAGCGGCGACGAAGCTGCCCTTGCGGCAGTGTCGGGCTCTCCTTGGTCGGCTTTAACTCATGAGCTCTGTCCACAACGCTCTCTTGCCATGCCCGCGGCTCATGAATCCCGCATTCAGTTGGCACATAAGTCTCTTTGATAGAATGTAAAATCCCGCTTTTCCAATTCTTCAAAAGGAATCACGCCCACTTTTACATAGCTTCTTATGTAGCTTTCTAGAGCACATCCCATATTTTTCACCTCCACATAGGTCTGTTTGGTAGAAATACGTCCATATTTTCCTCGAACAAAACAGAGAAAGCCTGGCAACGAAGCGAAAAAAGCACGAGGACTGATTGAAAATGAAGGCGGATCGTTTACTGTCCATTTGTGGGGATTTTCGCCCCCCTCGCGCCCATCGGTAGCCCCCCACCCAATTAAACGTGGCCACATGCGACCCGATATGACGCGGGTCGTCATGAAAATGAAATTGACCGGAAGAACTCGAGCGCGGATTTCAATAAAAACACCTCCGTCCCCAACCCCTCCAACCCCCTCCCACCCTCCTCAAGCTCGTTTTTTCTGTTTCAGCGATAAATGAAGTGCCCGGGTCGTTGGCTCGGTTCTTCCAAGACGCGCGATCATGACCGGGCATTAAGGTCGCCCGTCGGGCGCCGCCAGTTGCCACGCTGCCGTATAACCTACGGTAAAGAATCGATTAATAACGTGTTCGATGCGTCGACCCTGATAATCGATCCTTTTCCATAGATTTAAATGTCCCGGCGATCGATTCATCGCAAAGCGGGACGCGCAGCTTGAGGAGAACACTGCCTTGCTAAGGAAAAACGCCGTATGGACCTTCAGGCGTTGCCAAATTTTCTTCGATAAACACGAATTCTCTGGTAAACTTATAAATATTTTCCTTCCGAATTTTTAGGTAATTTTGTTCGCAATTACACCTATAATTCCTGAAAATTTCAAGAAAAAATATTCATAACTTTCTCATAACTAAACATTTTATCAAAGGAAATTTGGCAACTCTCGAATGTTCAAACGGCGTTTTTCCTAAGCACGGCAGAACAATAAGTGCGAAAATGCAATTTTGAGTAAATGGACTTAATAACGCCCGCATTGGAACTTTAGCTGGAGGAACCCTCCATTCTTCGTAAAATTGTCAGTAATCTCCCAAGACGTTCGAATGATTCAAAATCCTCACTTTAGTAAAGACGGCTAATTTTACTTTATGTTGAGCGATAAGGAAGAAGATACTATGTTCTGTATGCGCACGAAAGTACACTTCTAACGCAAAACAAACAAACTTTAAGATTAGAAATTCGCAAAGAAGGGCATCGTTTCGCTCAAAAACGCGATCAGTAAAAGCTTTCTCGCGGAACATTGTGCACTTTCGGTCTTAAATGACGTCAATTTCGGATAAAATTTTGATCAAAGATGAAGATGCGCTTTTTCGCTTTCGATGAGTCTCTTCCATTTTTAGCCACCTGAACAATTTTATAGAGCCTTCTGGCTTCTGGATGATTATTCTCAATTTTGCACCGAATGAAGGACTCGCTAGATTATGCTTGCTATTTCAAGAAATATGCGTTTAAAGTTTAAATATTACATAGAGCCTTATGGCGGAAAGAATGTTTAAGTTCACTTTCTGGTGCACAAAAAGTGGATTTTCGCGGTAAATTTTTCACAAAATATGAATTAAGGCTAGTTTCAGTCAAAATCATAAATATATCATTTCTTTTAAAAACTGCACTCATACCGCTTTTCTTCCAAGCCCCCCAATTCTAGATCTACTGCCCTTTGTCGGTAACACGGCAATGGACTAAGCATTACCCGTCCGGTAGCGCACGGCGCTTCTTCAGCGGTGTTTTTTAGTCGCACAAAAGGCGGGACGAAACATAGTTGCTAGATAGTGCTGGAAAATCGGCACTTTCCCTCATTAAAACCCATGTAAAATACCTACATTTAATTGCACAATCTGGCTACTTCGGGACGAAAAAAGGGTCTGCTGGAGGGAGCGCCGGAGCTCTGAGCGAGGTTGAGGGGACGAAAATAAAAATACGAAAATAGTAGAGCTTGAGCACAAATATTGATTTTGAGGCGATGAGAGATGCAACACATTAGGTGCGAGAGGAGAAGAAGACAAATGGGGGCTGGGAAGGGGGAGGGGGGGCGGAGAGCCCGGGCGCGGAAAAAAAGGAAAACTGACAGGCGACAAGACAAGACTCGCTGGTTGCAGACCTTGGCCAACGAGGAAAAATTGACGGAGGAAATTGATTTTCCGTCCGCACACGTGGTTGCACCTCCAAGAGTTTTCCCTCCGAAACTACAAACTCGGAAAGAATGACTATGGGGAAACTACAAAAAATAGTAACTCGTTTTTTGTTATTCAATAATAGAAAAAAACCCTTTTACTCCTTTGTCTAAGCTAACCTATCCCGATTTGTCGGTGGTGTGATTTCAAGTTCATCAACATGCGACGTGTACTTCTTTTGAGCATAAGTGCCAAAACCCGTGAAAACGC